CATGAGTTATGTGGTGAGTTGTGTGCTTGATTTACACAGTACAACACCAATTGTAAGCAGGTTGCATGAGTTATGTGGTGAGTTGTGTGCTTGATTTATACAGTACAACACCAATTGTAAGCAGGTTGCATGCGACCATGGATGATTGCAGCTATAGATTAAATTTTGATCTAGGCAAGAAGAACAAAATCCATCACCACAGCTGGAAAGAATGTTAAAATTAGTAAAATTGCAAAGGTCGGTCGCGAAATGTTGTAAAATGCGGAAAATATATCCCTGCGAACTTTGTAAATTTTGTATTAATTTGTATTACACGCGGGGAAATGCACTACATTTGGGCCGAAAGTGGTGCATTTTCCCGTGCCTAACAAATTAATACAAAATTTGCAAATTTCGCAGGGCTGTAGGTTTTCTGCATTTTACAACATTTAGCAACGAAACTTTGCAATTTTACTAAGCTCAACACGCTCTTGCTAGCTGTGGTGATGGATTTTGTTCTTCGTGCCGAGATCAAAACTTAGTCTACAGCTGTGGTGATGGATTTTGTTCTTCTTGCCTGGATCAAAATTTAGTCTATAGCTGGAATCTATTTTACGCAAAAGTTGTGTGGTGTAAATCAGGCTTTGGGTCATTTTGTTGAAAGGGAAAACACCATCAGCTGCACCCCAGTATTCGTGACTCAAGTTAACGAGATTCTTTTACATGTACAGATTACTTTTGTTGCTACAATGCTAAAACTAAATATTAAAGTAGACAGTGGTTTATTCTTTTCTTATATAACATCGTTATTTTCAGGTGCACTTCTCATAGAAAGACCAGCTGATATAGAGGAAGGTGAGAGCATTACTAAATACTGTCAGTATCAATTGCATTCCTAATAATATACTATACATAAAAATCTTACTCGACTGTGATTGGTTGATTTCAGTGCAATTAATCTCAAACAGCAATGCAAGATTCTGCAACAACAGTGTAAAAATCTGCAACAACAGTGCAAAAATCTGTGACAACAGTGTACAAATCTGTGACAACAGTGTACAAATCTGTGACAACAGTGTACAAATCTGTGACAACAGTGTACAAATCTGTGACAACAGTGTAAAAATCTGTGACAACAGTGTAAAAATCTGTGACAACAGTGTAAAAATCTGTAACAACAGTGTAAAAATCTGTAACAACAGTGCAAAAGTCATTATTATTATTATTATTACTGTTCCATTCTATAATTGTTCTGACCGTAAAAGTGCGTCCTCCCTCAGTTTTCCTAGACTAGTGTATTTTGGACTCATCAAGTTGGAACTTGAGTAACAAGTTTCTCTTTTGTGGATGTCTGAATTTCTTTTTAATAGCTTATCAATGTAACTGGGGGTACCAAAACTTGTATTTATACGCTTATAAACTAGCGTATTTCTTTTAATTTGTGATTGCTTGGTAAATGGCAGCCAATCTTAAATAAAGTAACTGATGATGCAAACCTATAAGCTTCCAGAATAATACGTGCCGCCCTCTTCTGAAGCTTTAAAACTCTTTGAATACACTCACTGTTAGAATTGTAGATGTCATAGCAGTGGCGAAGGTAACCATAGCAACTGGTCTCGCTACTATAAATTATTACAAATTTGACTATAGTAACCTATTGTCTATAACTTACATGTCTTACGAATTCGTAATACAAACTTAATATGATTTTGCAGGTTCATATCTTCGGTTCAGTGCATGCTACGAAGACAAAAATACCTCCGTTCGATGCAGTGAAACAATATCTCCTCATTCCTTTTAGTCAAGATCAACATTCTAGCGATTATGGCCTTTGAAATTCAAAGCGAGTTAAACAATTTTTGTGCACGTTTCTTAGCATAGCATGACCAGATGCCATAGCTAGACTACAGTAGCCACTGCTGTTATGTTGAATCTTATCAGGTTTTTATTTTATTAAGGATTTGCTATTCACGCTCCACTTGTCTACCATTTTGGGCACACAACACCATCAGGAAATTCCAAACTTTACAATGTTTTAACATCTCAGATAGCAAACACTGTTAAAGAAAGATTTGAAAAGAATAACGAAGGTGAGTAATTGCTATGGCAATATACTGTACGTGTTCCTACTTCCTGGTAATGTAACCATAAAACAAAGAAGGGTGGATCGTTTCCTTACATTTAAAGACTTAGTCAGTTCTTAACATTTACCTGCATGTATCATAGGCGGCCCATCAGATTAAATGTTGTTAATTTACATAAATACTGCAGTAAAAATTGTTAAAGAAAGTCAGAACATCTCAAATTAGCGAATTGTGGCTTATTAAAGACAGGATTAAAGATATAGAGAATAATACATGGGTGCGCGGAAATACCAGATTTATTTCGAGTGTTGAACATGATATCTCACGAGTGAGCGCAGCGAACGAGTGAGATATCATGTTCAACACGAGAAATAAATCTGGTATTTCCAAGCACCCATGTATTTTTCTGTTTATTATATAAACAAAATTCAGTGAAAAACAATAAAACGTCCGTGGCAATGCGTTTTACATGCAACAAGTGATATTTTCACACGTAAAAATATCGTATTTTTTACGTGTGTTTAAATACGAATTCTCTCAGTGGCCAAAAACTCTATATAACACTCATGTTTATATAATAAAATCACTTACGTGCGACGCACGGACAGCGATATGACGTATATCGATAATATCTAAGGTTGTCCGTGCACCTGTCTTTAATAAGCTATAATTCGCTAATTTGAGATGTTCTGACTTTCTTTAACAATTTTTACTGCAGTATTTATAGGTGTAAAAAAAAATACTTGTGGTTCCGGTTTCATATCGTGAAAAAATTAGAGTCGGTAGGTCGGAAATAATTTTTTTTTTGAATATTTTTTTCATGGTTTTGGCGGTTTTTTGCTGGACGATTTGCAGTAGAGTCCCGACGTCAATATTAACTAGAGATGCGTATTTCCTATGGACGAATTTAGGCAATTTGGTTCAATAATTAGTGTGACAACAGACGCTATTTTGGCACGCTGTATGAGCAGCCCGCAACCACCTGGAAAAAATAGGGTCGCACGGTCAATCACATTGAAAAAATAATAGGGTCGGCAGAAAAAAAATAGGGTCGATCGGGAACCGGAACCACAGGTATTTTTTTACGCCTTATGTAAATTTACAATGTTTAATGGAAGCCTATGCATGTATGTCCATATGGAAACTACTGTATAAACACGGTTCGTACGCCCCCGTTTGGCGAAGTTACTTTTGCCATATTTCAAAACTCTAGGAAAATGACAGAAAAAGTTCTTGAAAATCGTGGATTTTTAAAATGATGAAGGTGTACGAAACCTGTAAGGCCATCTATAAAGAAGTTCGACCCCCCTGAAAAAGTGAAAACAAATGTTCATGTTGACAACATGCACAGTTTAAATTCCATTAATTTTCAGCTCGAATTGGTGGTGTTGTCGTTAACACTTGTGGTTGGGTTACCGGTCCTGGATATAAGATGTTAGTTCATGCCGCTAAAGCTTTTGATGGTAAGGAGTACCTGTGTATAGAGCGTTTGCACATGACGTCACAGCCGCCATGTTGGTGTTCCAATTCAAAAGAATTTTAATTAGACTCTTTTGTCTGGAACACCAACATGGCCGCCATGACTTTTGTTGAGTTGGTCCCTGGGGATGAGTGCACACGCTCTATAGTGTAAGTTATACTGTATTGACACAAAATGTGAAAGCATTAAAAACGTAAATATACACGTGTAAATACGCTCATACATAAGATGTTGAAGGATTTTGAAGTGAAAATTTCGAGTGTAAATTTTCATGAAGGCCTCATCAGGAGCGGCTTGGGAAAATGCAACTATAGGCTCTCTGGTAGGACTCGAACCTGAGACCCTGCTATTCCGATGCAGTCCTGTAACCAACTGAGCAACAGAGTTCAGTTGTCGAGCCACAAGTTCATGTATATACACTAACTCGAGGTGATACCATGGTGAGGTGCATGGGTGAATATCAGGATATTTTTCACTTGAATGAACTAATGTTGAAGGGTTTGGTAAATTTCGGGTGTGTACATTTATTATAATTTATAACCAGAAACAGTTGCCAAAATTATTCATACATAAAGTGGTCTATAAAACCTGGTTGGTCTCATAATTCTACTTTCTGTGGGTTATAGACTAGTGTTGGTTACATGAATATTAGTTTAATTTGTATTTTCAGTCAATGTTATTGTTGTCCTTGATCAAGAAAGACTTTACAATGATTTTAAAAAACAATTTGGTGAAGATATCGAAGTACTCCATCTTCCAAAGTCTGGTGGGGTAAGAACAAGATATACTACTATATATATACTGTGTTGCTAAGTTTATCTATTGTCATAAGATAATTAACCTAGCCTCGTATATAGCGTTATAATTCTTTGTGATTAGAAGCCATGTCCGTTTAATGCTCACTTTTTCATTGTATACGTTAATTATGGTATTCGGTACCAGATTTTTATAGGTCTTTCTGCCCCTAGTGTCCGCCACTGATCTCAGACAGTTGGATAAAGGTTTTCTTATGTTTCGCTCACTAAGGTTAGGGATTATGTTTACGGTCAAGATCAGGACATCATTATTTTCCAGGTTGTTACCCGAAGTCAACAGTTCAGGCGAGAATCAAGGAATGAAAGGATACGTCAATATTTTTATGGAATTAAGAATAATTTTTATCCACACACCTTTGAAGTCAAATTCTCCGATGTGAAGGTTTTTAAAATAGGAGGTATGTCCTAGCCATGTACCAGGTTAAAGGTAAAGTCAGATCACCCAGGGTGTTTGATATTTGAGTCAGACTATTAACTGTTAAAAGCAGATTGGTTAAAATAAACAATTTGAATTGGTATTCTCAGATACACTTATTTGACCAATATTTTATTGATAAAGAGCAGAGCCCAGCAAATAACTTTAAAACCAAACATAATAAAAGTAAAAAAATTATTAGCTAACGTTTAACGCGTTGAAAATTATTGATGTTTCTCCCTACAGCCCCTGCTGTGCCAGATTCATGTCTTCCCATTGGGATGCAAAAGGATGAAATTGAAACAAAGTTGGTGCCAATGCAGCCAGGTATGAGACAGTATTCTGTTGATGAGTATTAGACAGAATATTAGAGACAGTATTTATACAAGTTGTTGGAACAGACTATTGCTACAAGTCTGCTACAGGTTTGTACAACTTGTGCGTTCTTACTTGTGTACAGCATGTAGATTTTGATTAGTTCCTAACATGCGTGGAAATAACACTTTGGTCAATAAAATTTTCATTATTTTCTCAATCTAATAATTATTTCATTTTCTCTTCAATTAAGTGAAAGTGCACGATTTATGTTAATTTCTAGGCAAAGATCTTATTCATTGTGTCCTTGGTCTGAGTATGGCGTCAGATCCTGACGAAGATCTCGTAAGAATGAACTTGGCAGGATATATTGTGATGTAAGTTTACAACATTTCGTCTTTTCGATATTGAACGAGATTGATGTTTATCACAATGTACGCCACGTTCTCTGAAATACGTTCATCACAATGTACGCCACGTTCTCTGAAATACGTTCTCTGAAATACGTTCTCTGAAATACGTTCTCTGAAATACGTTCTCTGAAATACGTTCTCTGAAATGCGTTCTCTGAAATGCGTTCTCTGAAATACGTTCTCTGAAATACGTTCTCTGAAATACGTTCTCTGAAATACGTTCTCTGAAATACGTTCTCTGAAACACGTTCTCTGAAACACGTTCTCTGAAACACGTTCTCTGAAATACGTTCTCTGAAATACGTTCTCTGAAATACATTCTCTGAAATACGTTCTCTGAAATACGTTCTCTGAAATACGTTCTCTGAAATACGTTCTCTGAAATCCATCTATGCAGGAAATATTTCACTTACACAGGAAATATTTCACTTACACAGGAAATATTTCACTGTGTTTTGCTGCCAGGAAGAGGAATATATTTTCTAGGCCAGAACGCGCGTGTATTTCGCAATGGCTTCGCGGGAGCTGCAAAAATACTAAGGTTTTCCGATCGATGTTCTTCAACATACAAATGCTCGTTTTTAGTTGTAAGTACCCTCAAAGCTAAAAACTAAATGTAAAGGTGGATTGATGCAACTGCAATCCATATTATTCTGGGGTTCAGTTCAAATCCCTCATAGATAGTCCAGAAAAACAAAGTTTGAATTCAATTAATTTCCTCGTAGGGGCCTGGGGCTTATCTACCAAACGGAAATTTCCGCCATCTTTGGCTTTAAAAACAAAGCCGGAGTTATCGTTCCAGTTTTTATAGAGATCATAAGGTGGCGATCCCAGTCTGGCAGATTTCGGATTGGACTTAACGATTAAGCTGTTGGAGTGTTGGTGTTACATGCTGTGTCGTTGTTTGGTCTTAGGAATAATCTTGAAAGAGTGTTTCGAAATAATCGACTCGAATGTTATATAATTTGCCCGTGAACGTCCTTGTCAACTATGTGTAGAAAAATATGATTCTGGGCATGCTAATCGAAGATTTGATTTTACAAGAAAAACGTGAATATTAGCAAGGGAAGAAATATATGTTCAAGGAGAGCCTCAGGCGAGTTTTTCCTATTTCGTTGGGGATGGAAGAAATAAAGTATTACTTTATTTACAAAACTCAGCCTTTTACTTTAGCCACTTTCCACGCATAATTTCTAAGTAAAGATACTTTCTTTTCGAGAATTTCCCTCCCACTTTACGGAAGAATGTTATTATGTACACGGTGTTCGTTGTTTGGGAAGGATCATAAGAAAAGGGGTGGAGAAATAATTAACATGCACACCAAGGAACCATAATGAAATTCAAATATGACAGACAGAACCCCCGCCCC